TTCAAATTCTAAGGTGTATGGGCTCCAAGCTGGAATGGATGCCAAGCAGGGCTCATGGGACTGGGCAGCAGGGCGGCAGGGCCATAAACATTTGTCCTCATGCCTCAGGTGACGCTGCTTGAGCACACCCCCCCAGGCAGTGCCATTCTCTCCATCTCTGCCACTGACCGGGACTCGGGTGCCAATGGTCACATCTCCTACCACCTGGCTTCCCCTGCCGAGGGCTTCAGTGTTGACCCCAACAACGGTGCGTCCTTCATGGGATCTGACCCTTTGTGGTGTTGGGCCATATTTTGACCTCATTCCTAGAATTTCTTGCCCGAACTCTTAACTCCTGGATCTCTAACCCAGGGAGTACATTTTCCCCCCTTTGTCTCTATTTAAGCCCTGTCCTGGCTGCATGTCTAGAAGCTGTTCCTTGGAAGCGATCCCATAATCTCCCAGCACACAGGCCTTCACTGGCGTCTGAGTTCTGAGGCCATTTCCTTAAGCCCGGAAGGGTCACTTCTGCTCACCCACAACCTCTACTGAATGCATGTTTCTCTCCATTCCCTTCTCATCTCAGGGACCTTGTTCACGACAGTGGGAACAGTGGCCTTGGGCCATGAGGGGCCAGGAGTGATGGACGTGGTGCTGGAAGCACGAGACCATGGGATGCCAGGCCGGGCAGCACGAGCCACAGTGCATGTGCAGCTGCAGGACCAGAACGACCACACCCCGAGCTTCACGTTGCCACATTACCGCGTAGCTGTGGCTGAGGACCTGCCCCCTGGTTCCACCCTGCTCACCCTGGAGGCCACAGATGCCGACGGAAGCCGCACCCATGCCACCGTGGACTACAGCATCGTCAGTGGCAACCGGGGCCGAGTCTTCCAGCTGGAACCCCGGCTTGCTGAAGCCGGGGAGAGTGGTGGACTAGGCCCCCGGGCACTGGGCTGCTTGGTGTTGCTTGAACCTCTAGACTTTGAAAGCCTAACCCAGTACAATCTAACTGTGGCTGCAGCTGACCGGGGACAGCCACCTCGAAGCTCAGCTGTGCCGGTCACTGTCACTGTCCTGGACGTCAATGACAACCCACCTGTGTTCACCCGAGCATCCTACCACGTGGCAGTACCTGAGGACACACCTGTTGGGGCTGAGCTCCTGCATGTGGAGGCCTCTGATGCTGACCCAGGCCCTCATGGCCTCGTGCGTTTCACCCTCAGCTCAGGTGACCCTTCGGGGCTCTTTGAGCTGGATGAGAGCTCGGGCATCCTGCGACTGGCCCGCCCCTTGGATTGTGAGACCCAGGCTAGGCATCAGCTTGTAGTTCAGGCTGCCGACCCTGCGGGGTCACACTTTGCTCTGGCACCAGTGACCATTGAGGTCCAGGATGTGAATGACCACGGCCCAGCCTTCCCACTGAGCTTGCTCAGCACCAGTCTGGCGGAGAACCAGCCTCCAGGCACTCTTGTGACCACTCTGCATGCGATTGATGGGGACGCAGGGGCTTTCGGGAGGCTCCGCTACAGCCTGTTGGAGGCCGGGCCAGGGCCTGAGGGACGCGAGGTATTTACACTGAACAGCTCAACAGGGGAGTTGCGGGCACGAGTAGCCTTTGACTATGAGCACACAGGAAGCTTCCAGCTGCTGGTGGGCGCTGCCGATGCTGGGAATCTCTCAGCTTCAGTCACTGTGTCGGTGCTGGTGACTGGCGAGGATGAGTATGACCCAGTATTCCTGGCTCCAGCTTTCCACTTCCAAGTGCCAGAAGGTGCCCGGCGTGGCCATAGCCTGGGTCATGTGCAGGCCACCGACGAGGATGGAGGTGCCGACGGCCTGGTGCTCTATTCCCTTGCCACCTCTTCCCCCTACTTTGGTATCAACCAGACTACAGGTGCCCTGTACCTGCGGGTGGACAGTCGGGCACCAGGCAGTGGAACAGGCCCCTCTGAGGGTGGGGGCCGGACCCGGCGTGAAGCACCACGGGAGCTGAGGCTGGAGGTGGTGGCACGGGGGCCTCTGCCTGGTTCCCGGAGCGCCACAGTGCCCGTGACCGTGGATATCACCCACACTGCGCTGGGCCTGGCACCTGACCTCAACCTGTTATTGGTGGGGGCTGTGGCAGCATCCCTGGGAGTGGTGGTGGTGCTTGCACTGGCAGCCCTGGTCCTAGGGCTGGTGCGGGCCCGAAGCCGCAAGGCGGAGGCAGCACCTGGCCCAATGTCCCAGGCAACACCCCTGGCCAGTGGCTCCCTACAGAAACTGGGCCGAGAGCCACCCAGCCCACCACCCTCAGAGCACCTCTATCACCAGACTCTCCCAAGCTATGGCGGGCCGGGAGCTGGAGGTCCCTACCCCCGGGGCGGCTCCCTGGACCCTTCACATTCAAGCGGCCGGGGCTCAGCAGAGGCTGCAGAGGATGACGAGATCCGCATGATCAACGAGTTCCCCCGTGTGGCCAGTGTGGCCTCCTCCCTGGCTGCCCGTGGCCCCGACTCGGGCATCCAGCAGGATGCAGATGGACTAAGTGACACATCCTGTGAGCCACCTGCCCCTGACACCTGGTATAAGGGGCGCAAGGCAGGGCTGCTGCTGCCAGGTGCAGGAGCCACTCTGTACCGAGAAGAGGGCCCCCCAGCCACTGCCACGGCCTTCCTGGGGGGCTGTGGCCTGAGCCCTGCACCCACTGGGGACTATGGCTTCCCAGCAGATGGCAAGCCATGTGTTGCAGGTGCACTGACAGCCATTGTGGCTGGCGAGGAGGAGCTCCGTGGCAGCTATAACTGGGACTACCTGCTGAGCTGGTGCCCCCAGTTCCAGCCACTTGCCAGCGTCTTCACAGAGATTGCCCGACTCAAGGATGAAGCTCGGCCATGTCCCCCCGCTCCCCGTATCGACCCACCACCCCTCATCACTGCCGTGGCCCACCCAGGAGCCAAGTCTGTACCCCCAAAACCAGCCAGCACGGCTGCAACCCGGGCCATCTTCCCACCAGCCTCTCACCGCTCCCCCATCAGCCATGAAGGCTCCTTGTCCTCAGCTGCCATGTCCCCCAGCTTCTCACCCTCACTGTCTCCTCTGGCTGCTCGCTCACCTGTTGTCTCACCATTTGGGGTGGCCCAGGGCCCCTCAGCCTCAGCACTCAGCGCAGAGTCCGGCCTGGAGCCACCCGACGACACGGAGCTGCACATCTAGCTGTGGCCCAGGCTGGGCCCCGACCTGGGATGCGCACAGTGTCCCCAATGCAGGCCCCATCTGAGCCTGCCCTGGGCAGCCTCGGACCATGATTGGCCACAGGGGAGACCAGCTCCCCATCCCAAACTCCTCCAGTGGGGACAGGTCCCACGTCTCACCACAGCCCCGTGAGCACCAGCACCACAGAGGTCCTGTTGGGCACTGACCTGTGGCCAGGTCCAATATGGGGAGAAACATGAAGGAGGCAGCAGCCCTGGGTTCTCCTCAGTAAGGGCTTCCTGCCCTGTGCCAGCACCCTGAGATGGAGCTGAGACTTTATTTATTGGGGGGTAGGGGGATGGGGGAGGTCCTCCAACCTGTTTGGGCCCAGCTCCTTTGGGTTCCACTGACGCCCCTGCCCCTGCCCAGAACCAAGTGCCAATTCTCACTCTGGAGCCTTAATAAACTGCAGTTTGTATCCAGCGTCCGGCTCTGTTCTGTGGGGGCCAGACGGAGGGTGATTGGAAGGTACCTGTACATTGTGGACACCTCAGGAGGTGTGGAAGGGTGGTGGACTTAGGCGCATCTAGGGTAGAGATGGCACTGGGAGCCATCTCTCTGCAATCCACCTTTCCCTCTAACACGGGCACGAGGCCAAGGAGAAGACAGTGACCTAGAGAGAGATTGGGTGGGTGGGGCGGGATCTTAGGGATGACCAGCTCTAGGCCTAAGGGTCTTCAAGGAGGTGGGAGTGGATATAGTGTTGTAAGGCAAAACCAAACTAAGTTTACGTGTTAAAGCAGACAACGAAAGTAGGGGCCAAATTAGGAGTCTTTATTGTTGAGCCGGGGACTGCGAGGAGGCTAGTGTCTCTAAATACCTCGCAGCCCAGAAGGGAAGTTAAGCAGGGTTTATAAAGGCAAAAACCGCAAGGGTACATTGAGGCAGAGAATTCCACTGAGTTATACAGAAACTGTGAAGTACAAAGGAGGAAGTCCTAAGGGTGGGACTCGACTCTATTGGAAAGTCCCATCAAGGCAGGGTAAACCGAGGCAAAGCATAATTACAGAAGTTGAAACAGCAAGGTTATAATTTCACATTCTATTATTCGCACACATATGAATTCTGAGAACAGTCACTGATTCCAGGTAGCTAAGCTAAGGTTGGGAGTAGGGATTCTTGTTAGGGCAGATGTCCAACCTAAGTATAGTATTATCATAGAAGCTAAAACAGCAGGGTTATGTAAAGGTTATTTTATAAGTGTGTGACTACCGAGAAAATATTTAAGCTATAGCTGGGTACATTTGGTTATTGTGGCTGAGCAGAGGTGAGAACAGGAATGGGGTGGGGTCAGAAGTCTGTTAAAAATGGGAACGGAAACTACTGGGCCTTTTAGAGGAACTACTGGGCTTGGGGCTTCTAGCAGGGCTTTTAGAGGAGGGGTCCTTGTTTCAATAGGAGCAGTCAAGTGGTTTATGTGTTTTTCTTGGGGGCACTATATATTTACATGTAAAAGGAGCTCACATTTGTTGAGCCTTTGCCATCAGGCTCACTGGCTGAACGATTTTCCTGCTTTGTCTGTAAATTTTCACTGCAATCCTATGAGACAGAGCACTTTTAATGTAACAGTCTATTCTAAATGAAGAAACCTGGGCTCCAATAGGCTAGGCAACTTTCCTGATATACAGCTAGGAAGAACCCGGGTCCGTGGGCCTCCAGGCCCCTGTCTCAAGCCCCGCTACACTCTGTGGTGAGTCCTGACCTAGTCCATAGTTACAGAGGGAGATTCTGAGCGGCATTCAGGACCGCCCACTTGAGGGAGGAGCCAGCACCGGCACTAGTTTCTAGGCGGAAGGGTGGTAGTGGTGGAATATAGGGCTCATGTGATCTGTCACATGACAGCAGATGTTCGGAAAGACGGCATGGGACTCCCAGTCAGGTGAGAAGTTAGAGGATCCTGGGAGAAGGGGATCATGTTGGAGGGAGTACATATTGGAGGGTTGGGGACACAATGACAGTCCAACTCCCGCTGAAACCCACTTGCCGCCCCTGCAGCCTCCTAGGGCTCCTAGCCCTTATCATTGCCGGCAAATGCAGTTACAGCCCGGAGCCAGATCAGCAGCTGACGTGAGTTGATTTAACGCTGACAACCCCCTTTCCCATGCCCTGTCCAGTTCCCACTGTCCTGGTTCTAGTCTCCCTCACTGCCTTACCAGCTCCTAGTACCCACTCCATAGTCTCATCTTCAGGTTCCCAGGCTGTGAGCCATATCTGCTTCTGGGATCCTACTCCAGGTCTCGGCCCCTGATCCTGAACCCTCCATGATTACTATTTCCCCTCACAACCCTGACAAAGGCCGTTCCTGATCTCTGACCCTGCAGGCTGCCCCCAGGCTGGGTGTCCCTGGGCCGAGTGGACCCTGAGGAAGAGCTGAGTCTCACCTTTGCCCTGAGACAGCAGAACCTGGAAAGGCTGTCCGAGCTGGTGCAGGCTGTGTCGGATCCCAGCTCTCCTCGCTACGGTGCCTGTCGGTACTGGGGGGTGGGATGTGGGATGCACTGGAGGGACATAGGGCTGGGCTGAGCTGAGCCTGGGACCACACAGATCATCAGGGTCATGCTCACGGTGCCTGTCAAGGGGGTGACATAGGGCAGATGAATGGTAGTGGCTCTTACTAAAGTTTCTGAATAAAAAAGTGAACTGGAGCTAAACTGTCCCAAACTAACTTATTTCCACCCCAAAACTTTCCACCTGTGTTCATCAGGCTAGAAACCTAAAAGTGGATATGGTGAAAAACACAGCACAGGCTTTGTGATCAGATCTGGATTCACATTATAATTCTACTGGTTACCAGCTACCAGACAAATGGGGAAGTAGCATCTAGTACGGATGCTCCTTGACTTACAATGGAGTTACAGTCCGATAAACGCATCGTAAGTTGAAAATATTGTCAAAAGTGCATTTAATACACCTAACCTACTGAACACCATAACTTAGCCTAGCCTACCTTATATTGCTCAGAACGCAATATCCAAAAACACTGGCAACACAGTACACTTTAGAGTACCAGTTGTTTATACCCTTGCGATTGTGTGCCTGACTGGGACCTGCGGCTCGCTGCCAATGCCCAGCATCATAAGACAGTATCATACCACATATCGCTATCCTGGGAAATGATAAAAATTCAAAATTCGAAGTATGGTTTCTACAGAATGCATATTGGTCTTGCACCACCATAAAGTTGAAAAATCGTAAGTCGGGGACTGTCTGTACATCTAGGTGCTCATCAACTCAAATTCCTCCCCTACCCTCAAGTCAACTCCCATTTCCTCCTCCATTCAGACACTGAGGCTGCCAGTTCTAACTCTGAAATAGCCGTTGTAGTAGTCTACTTCTCACCATCCCTTGTTGCCACCAGTTCAGTTGTTTATTCTCTCACCGGCTGCTGCCCAGCCCCCTGACTATCTCTTCCTCTCTACCCCAAACCCCACTCTTTTCCCCACTCTGCTCCAAAACAGTCAATGTTTTGCTCCTATGGTCAAACTGGATTGTGTCCTTCCCCTGCTTGAAGCCCTTTCATGGTGAGGGGAGGAGTGGTGTGTGCTAAGGGGGTGCCTTCAGATGCATCTGGTAGGCAGGTACTAGTATGCTTGACTCCATGCAGGAAAACAGTGACTCGCCATCAGGTTAAGCCTAAAATTAACAGGTATGAAAATTGGAACTAAATTAAATGCCATCTTATAATTAGCTCCAAAAGCTTTGAAAACTTTCATTGGAGATAAATTTAAAATGGACAGTTTTAATTTATGAACCTCATTTGTTTTTCATGATCATGGCAGTCTGTGCATGCTGTGGTGCAGCATTTGCAACCCAGTAGCCTTTAGGGTAAATCCATATTCCTGGCCCTGGCATTCCAGGTCTCTGCAGCCTTTTCCCCTGACCCCCAAATATAAGCTGCACCTGCACGGCCTGCCTTTTTTTGCTAGAAAGTTCCCACTCATCCCTTGTGACCCTGCTCCAGGCTCCCTGGGAAATCCCAATGTCTCCTGACTGAGGCCCAAAAAGGGCAACTTGGAAAAGCAATGAATGAAGACAAGAGCCTCTACGAATCCCTGCAGGAAAATACCTGACCCTGGAGGATGTGGCGGAACTGGTCCAGCCATCACCACTGACCCTCCACACGGTCCAAAAATGGCTCTTGGCAGCTGGAGCCCGGAACTGCCACTCAGTGACCACACAGGACTTTCTGACCTGCTGGATAAGTGTCCGGTGAGAGGGGATGATTGCCCCAGGGAGGGTTCCAATCGGCCTTTCAGGGAGACCAGTCGCCTCAATGGGAGGGAACTGAGAGCTTGCTAGGGGCTGTGGGTGAGAGCTAAAGCATGGGAGATGACAACTAACTGCCCGCTGATGCTCAGGCAGCCTCTGCTCTGTTCCATGCTTTCTGACCTCTGTTCTTTGATCTGACCTTCAGACAGGCAGAGCTGCTGCTCTCTGGGGCTGAATTTCATCGCTATGTGGGGGGGCCAGCAGAGACCCATGTTGTAAGATCCCCACGTCCCTACCAGCTTCCGAAGGCCTTGGCCACCCATGTGGACTTTGGTAACACCCGGTGGGGCTGGTGGGGTTGGGGCAGGCAAAGCCAGGGACTGCCGTATAGATGCCATGGGGGAGGTTGGAGGGGATAAGCAGAAAAGTGGGGGTTGGAGTCTAAAAGATCTCAAACCTGACCTTTCCCCACAGTGGGGGGGCTGCACCGCTTTCCCCCCACATCATCCTTGAGGCAACGCCCTGAGCCACAAGTGGCAGGGGCTGTTGGCTTGCACCTGGGGGTGACCCCATCCGTGATCCGTGAGCGATACAACTTGACAGCACAAGATGTGGGCTCTGGAACAACCAACAACAGCCAAGCCTGTGCCCAGGTGAGCCATGGAGGAGCCCCAGGGTCCTTGCAGCCCACCCAGGGAGCCTGAACAGCCTGGGGTGTTCTTTTATCCCCAATACTGGGACAGTATCTCCTCCCCTAACCCTTGGGGCTACATCCTCTGACCCATGATATCTGCTCTGACTCCTGCTATAGTTCCTGGAGCAGTATTTCCATGACTCAGACCTGGCTGAATTCATGCGCCTCTTTGGTGGGAACTTTGCGCACCAGGCCTCAGTAGCCCGTGTGGTTGGACAACAGGGCTGGGGCCGGGCTGGGATCGAGGCCAGTCTAGATGTGCAATACTTGATGAGTGCTGGTGCCAACATCTCCACCTGGGTCTACAGTAGCCCAGGTACTGCCCAAGGGACTGGTTGGTGGGGAGAGGGGTAGGGGTGAGTGTTGAACTTTGCTCTCCTAAGAGAATCCCGTGAGTTAGAGGGAAGTCCTAACAACCCCCCAAATGACTGCCCTTGTGCCCTTCTCCCCACAAAAAATCCAGGCCGGCACGAGTCACAGGAGCCCTTCCTGCAGTGGCTCCTGCTACTCAGTAATGAGTCAGCCCTGCCACCTGTGCATACTGTGAGCTACGGAGATGACGAGGATTCCCTCAGCGACATCTACATCCAGCGGGTCAACACCGAGTTTATGAAGGCTGCTGCTCGGGGTCTTACCCTACTCTTTGCGTCAGGTGACCTCCTATTATAAACGTAAACCCCACCACCTCCCATCTACCCAACCTGAGAGCTTTGACCCTACAGTGACCCCCAAATCTGAATTTAACAGGGACTACTGACCTGACCTGCCTTTATCAGTAATGCCTAACATTTGAATTTCCTGTCATACAAACCTACATAGAAAGCTCTGACAAATTAATCTGAGTGCTAAACTTGGTCTCTCTCCCAGGTGACAGTGGAGCTGGGTGTTGGTCTATCTCTGGAAGACACCAGTTCCGTCCCAGCTTCCCTGCCTCCAGGTAAACACCCCTACCCACCACAAATCTGGGACCACCAACCTTTCATCTGTGACTTCTTGTTCTAGATAGAGCCTGTGCCTTGACCCGATCAGGTGCTCCTGTGGCTCAGCCTCAGCTTTACCACCCTGGTTGCTGTCCTCCCCTCATCCTGTAGGTCCCAGGCCCCAAGTGTCCTGAGTAGGACACAGCTCCTAGGGTGCCTCTTTCTTAGTCCCCAGGCATTTTTGCAGAAGATTTGGTGGGTGTTCTGTACGGAAAATGTGCAGTCACCTCAGGCCATGCCTTGAGGGCTCAAAACCTCTTGGTCATCCCCATGTGCATGCTTCCCCACAGATTCCAGACCCTCCAGCAAGACCCAGGCCATACTCACCCATCCCCACACATTTTGGAGGTCCCCTTGAGGCCCCTATAATCCGCATGCTGTCTTCTGCCCTCAGCCCCTATGTCACCACGGTGGGAGGCACATCCTTCCAGAATCCTTTCCGAGTCACAAGTGAGATTGTTGACTACATCAGTGGTGGCGGCTTCAGCAATGTGTTCCCACGCCCTTCGTACCAGGTATGTGTAGATGGATGGAGGTGAGGAAGGGTGGGACTCCTCAGTTCAGGAGACAATCCTCACTCAACAATGCCTTTCAGGAGGAAGCTGTAGCCCAGTTCCTGAGCTCCAGCCCCCACTTGCCACCATCCAGTTACTTCAATGCCAGTGGCCGTGCCTACCCAGATGTGGCTGCACTCTCTGATGGCTATTGGGTGGTCAGCAACCGTGTGCCCATTCCATGGGTGTCTGGCACCTCGGTGAGATCCGCCTGGCTCCAAACATTTAGGAGCTACTGTCAGCTTCTACCCCCAAGACCTTGCACCCAGAACCCCTGACTCCTCAGGGACCTTTGATCCTTTCAAACATCCTTCCACGTAAGGCCAGTCACTCTGAACCCCTAACTTCTACTTGCATCTTCCAGGCCTCTACTCCGGTGTTTGGAGGGCTTCTGTCCCTGATAAATGAACACAGAATCCTCAGTGGCCACCCCCCTCTTGGCTTTCTCAACCCGAGGCTCTACCAGCAGCGTGGGGCAGGACTCTTTGATGTGAGTGTGGAAGGGATGGGTGTGGACATTTTCGTAAGAGCATAGGATGTGAATACAGGGCATGGGGGGTGTAGTCTGTTAGTACTGGTACCAGCAGGCCCAGATCTGATGTTCACCTTCTCCCTAGGTCACCCGTGGCTGCCATGAGTCCTGTCTGAATGAAGAGGTGCAGGGACAGGGTTTCTGTTCTGGCCTTGGCTGGGATCCTGTGACAGGCTGGGGAACACCCAACTTCCCAGCTCTGCTGAAGTCATTAATCAACCCCTGACCCTTTCCTGCTGGGAGAGTGGGCCTGTCTCCTGCCCCATAGCTTGTGGTTTGTTTCCTCATTCTGCACTATTGAAAATCCTGCTGAACCCTCACCTGTTGACTACTGAGAGCTTATCCCCCTAACCTTGAAGTGTTATGAGCGTGACATGACTCCCAGCCCTAACCCTGCTCCATCATACTCAGGTCTCCCTACCCCTGCCTCAGGTTTCTCTATAGATGCTATAACCAGTGCTGTTTGGGTGCATCCCCCAACCCACCCACCCCCATTTCTTCTTTCTCTGCAACCAGGCTTTTTCAAAGGGTTGTCTACACTGTCTGTGTACACAATTATACTTCATGTTTGCTCCTCAATTTATCACAATGAGACTTCTGCTCTCACTCTTGTACTTTCCTCCACTGACACTAAAAAACAATGGCCTCCCTGCTGCTTCCTCCAGGGCACACTCCCCGATTTTTGCTTTATGGCCCTCTTTCATAGTTGCCCACTCCCTCTCTTTCCTTAGCTTCCAGGGTTTAACTTCTCCTCTAACCATCCCCTCTTCCTTCTTTTTTTCTGCTTCCTCACTGAATGTTGGTGTACTTCATTGCTCCATCCTCAGTCTTTTGCTCTCTTCACTCTACCTATTGTACCTGGAAAAAATCAATCAGGATTGGCATCCACAGCCATCATCATCTCACTAAATCAGACTTTCTATCCAACAGATTGATACTTCAAAAGCAAGATATGTGATACTCAACACTTATCTCTCTCCTGATCTCAATCTGTTCTCATTTCTTTTTGGTAAATGATACTATGCTTTTTCCAACCAAGCCAGAAACCTGGGTATCATTGTAAACTCATTTCCTTCATCACCGCCCCCCACCTTCAATTAACAAGTCCTATTTACTTACCTCTTAAATATATCTTTATCAATCCACAGTCCTGCCAATTATATTTCTTGCGTACATCTAGAACTCATCTACTTCTCTCCATCTCAACTGCTACAGTAGCTTAGAGCCGTATTCTCTCTCCTCTGAATTGTCAGAGACCCTTGCAAAAAAATGACCTTATTTCTTACCCTTCCCTAAACCGTCTTCCAGAGTAAAATGAAAATCCCATCAGGTCATTTATTTAAGACCCTTCAAAGATTATCTGGTAAAGTTCAGGCTTTTTATCATGACTCACAAACCTGATTCCTTCCTTGCTTTTTGTTCCTGAGTAACAAATTGTTTATCCTCCCCTGCTTTCCTCCCATTACATTCTTCCACTTTTGCTCAAGATATTCTGTGCCCTTAACAACCCCTAGCCCCCCTTTGCTTGGTTGATTTCCAGGATTCTTTCCAGACTCAGCTCAGAAGCCATTAGATTCTCTTGTGAACCTTTGGCTCCCTGCTAGTTGATTTTGGTATAACACAAAAAACTAGATTTTTGAAACCAAACCTGTTTGATTTTGTTTCTCATATGGACTAGGGAAGAGCCTTAGGCCAGTAAGTTGATCTCCCTGAGCCTTTTCCTCATTTGTTAAGTGGGAATGTCGATACCTGCCTCTCATAATAATCAGTGATATGGAATGAATGGAACAATGGTGATGAGTGAGTGCCTGACACACAGAAGTAGGCAGCAGGTGTCAGTTCGCTTTGTCCCTTGCACTGCACACCGTGTCTACCTCTAGTATTGTAACTCCCACATAGTACTGAAATTGCCAGTTGACCTGTTTGCTTCCTTTCCAAGACAGTTGGTGCCTAGAGGACTAGAGTCTTGTTTTACTTAACTTTGTATTCCAAGGTCCTAGCTCAGGATTGGCAAATAGGAATTAAATAAATGTTTGCTACATTGAAAACCTCTTGCCCTCGCTGTGATTTTGCATGTTTTTTTACTCAGGCTGAAATACCTCCCTCAGCATCTACAGCAGCATTGTGCGCTCTCCTGCAGCCTTCACTGCTCCGGGCAGCTGGCGGGGAGAGGGGCGCTTTCCACCTCCACTACGAACCTTTAAAAGGCTGAATAAGGGAATTAGAAAGGATGCAGACTGGCAGGTGGTCGAACCGTGTCGGGCCAATGAGCCCAAAGAAAGGTCTTTAGGTGGCAGGCTGAAAGAGGATCCCAGATCCGCAGAAGAGGGTCCTCGACGTTCCAGGGTTCCCAGCCCGGCGGAACCACCTACGAGTACCGCGCGGTGGGAGGTGGAACGTCCGCGGCCAGCGCAGTTCTCCAAGGCTTGGTCTCCGCCAACTGGCTGGCTTACAAGCAACCAGGAGGAGGGAAGTTTAGGCGAGAGGGCGATCATGGCGTGGGAGGGGCTAGCGCGAGGCTGACGTCACTCTGGTGTGTGCGTAACGTGAGCGGAAGCGGAAGCGGCTCGGTTCGCCGCCTCTCCCACCGGCTACATGAGCTGCAGCGGCTCCGGCGCGGACCCCGAGGCGGCGCCAGCCTCCGCCGCCTCGGCCCCAGGCCCGGCCCCCGCGGTCTCGGCCCCCGCCGCGCTGCCCGCCGGCACCGCTGCGGAAAATAAGGCCAGCCCCGCGGGGACAGCAGGAGGGCCTGGGGCTGGAGCTGCGGCAGGGGGCACGGGACCCGTGGCAGCGCGGGCCGGGGAGCCGGCCGAGAGACGCGGGGCGGGTGAGGGCCGGGACGGGTGAGGGCGAGGGCAGCGTGCTGCGCTGGTCCCATCGGCGGGGGCGGGCAGAGAGTATAAGGCAGACCTGGCTGGGGCCCTGCGCCTTGCACCTCCGTGTCTCAGTTTGCTGGTTCTCCTCCAGCTGCGGTGTCGGCCGGCGGCGCGGCGCCCCCGGAGGGGGCCATGTCTAACGGGGTTTATGTGTTGCCGAGTGCGGCCAACGGAGACGTGAAGCCGGTGGTGTCCAGCACGCCTCTGGTGGACTTTCTGATGCAGCTGGAGGATTACACGCCTACGGTGGGCTCCCTGCCAGAACAAGGCTATTGGCCCGCTGTCTCGCCAACTTTCCGCCACACCACCTGGATTTCCAATGTCCTCTTCTTGTAGCCCCCCTCCTCCCCCATCTAACTCTTGGGACTTGTCCCCTCTGCCCACCCAAACTGGAAGCTTCCCGATAGTGTCCGGCCTGACCTCCGTTTCCCTCGCCTTCTCATCCTAGCCCAGCAGTGCATAGGGCTTACACTAATAGCTGTCTAATTGATTTCTCAGATTCCAGATGCAGTTACTGGTTACTACCTGAACCGCGCTGGCTTTGAGGCCTCGGACCCCCGCATGTGAGTAAATTCTGGGCAGGTTAGAGTGTTTGGTGGTGTGGATTTGCTGTGCAGCTCCTAATGTGGTTTTTTTTCCCCCCCTCTAGAATTCGGCTCATCTCCCTAGCTGCCCAAAAATTCATCTCAGATATTGCTAATGATGCACTACAGCACTGCAAAATGAAGGGCACAGCCTCTGGCAGCTCCCGAAGCAAGAGCAAGGTGTGAGGGGAGACTCATTGAATCAGTAGTTACCTCCCAGCAGTGGAGGCTTAATTTGTCCTGAAACCCCTTTGGGGAGAAAGCCCTAGGGGAGGTGAAAGACCTATTCAGGGTCACCCGCCTGGGATTAAAGTTGGGGATTCGTGTTCAGCTGGTGCTCTTCGCTCTTCCCTCAGGACCGCAAGTACACTCTAACCATGGAGGACTTGACCCCTGCCCTCAGCGAGTATGGCATCAACGTGAAGAAGCCGCACTACTTCACCTGAGCCATCCAGTCTAAATGTACTTGTTTGTCCCCTTGTCCCCACACCAGCCTGTTTTCATAATAAACTTTATTGTGACAGGCAGGGCTGATCCCTCCCATGCTGGGAGACACCGTGTGGCAAGTGACAAAGCTCTGAGCCCAGCCCCTTTTGGGGCCACAGTGGTAGGGATGGGGGCAGGGGATGGGCCCCATGGCTGGGGTAGTACCATGACTGGAGGCAGGGGAGGCAACCAGAGGCCTGCTGCTTTGGGGGAAACGTACTCCCCTAACAGTGTCCCCACACCTCTGGAGTTTAGGCAAGGACTTTCCAGTCCTACTTGTCCTGCATCTTCTCCAGGATAGGCACAATCATGTCAAACTTGGGCCGCTTAGCAGGGTCCTCATTCATGCAGATCTTCATGAGCTTACACACATGGGGGGAAATGCCTGGTGGGATGGTAGGCCGAAGGCCTTCGAGTGCCACCTGTAAACGCAGGGAAAAACACGGCGGGCCTTAGAACTTGAATCTCATGTAGGAAGCGGCCTCTAGCCCTCAGGACAGGATTACTGAACAAAGGTGGGAAGAGTCTGGTCCCACTACAATTATTGTCACGACCATCACCATCCCCTACCACAAGTATATACAGTTGTGCTCTCACCTTCATTCCAATCTCCATGTTGGAGAGGTCAGCAAAGGGTACTTCCCGTGTCACCAGTTCCCATAGAAGCACTGCAAAACTCCACATGTCTGCCGAGCGTCTGTTTGTATCTTCAGGCTTCTTCTGCAAAGCTGAAGGGACAGGGTTTATCTGTTCCAGCTGCCTGTTCTGTCCTTTCTCTGCCCCCTTCCATTTTTACTGAGCTGGCCCTTCTCTACCTCCAACATGATGCCCTCACTCACCTTCAGGGGCCACCCAGGCAGGTGCATACATGCGCCCAGGGCATTGGAAGGAAAACTTGACGTCAGCCATGCTGATTCGGGCAGTCATGTCCTCATCAATCTGAGAAGATAGATATGTGAAAGGAGGTAAGTCCTATTTTACAATAGATAGGGAAAGGTTTTCTGGGGGCCTGGGCCAGGAGTGAAGTTGTGAGCTCACCATTACACTACGGCTATTGAGTGCATGTCGTGGGATGAGGGGCTCTAGTGTATGTAGAAAGGCCATGCCCCTTGCCATGTCCAGTGCAAACTTCACAGCCTGGCTCTGGTCCACGACAAAATCTAGGAAAGGAGGCAGGAGTCCAAAAGCTTGGCGAGGCCCACACACCCTTGCCCCACTTGAGTGAGATTCAGCATCCCCTACTCACTGGTGCCTTCGTGTAGTACATTGTACAGGGATCCGTATGGCATCCAGTGTGTGATGAGGGTGGGGTGAGGAGCAGGTGGAGCCTGACAGAAACCCAGCACTGGGAGCACATTTGGATGCGAGAAAATCCTGGGAGAGAAAGAGAGTGTCCCTGGCTGAGACCCAGTGTCAAACATCTCAGGTGTCAGTGAGGTTTCCTTGGAAGCAGCAGCTTCCAGCTTAGGCCTCGCCCCACCTGAGCCGGGGACACTCCTCGTTGAAGTCCCTGCTCTTCCTCGTGCTCCAGTCTCGAACCTTCAGCACTTTGACGACGATGTCATTGCCCTGCCAGCGGCCCTTCCACAGCTGAGGGACAGGTAAGGGTTAGGAGGCTTTAACTAAGGCCACCACTTCCATGCCCACCAACTGGAGAAGAAACTTAAAACAGGTACAGACAGGTCATTTGGGGGGTTTGGGGAGGGAGGGGCGCGAATGGCAGGGGTCACCTCTCCAGAGTGATTCTCGTTTAGCTTTGCCAGGAAGTTGAGCTGTTTGAAGTCAATGCCAGAGTGTTTGTTCAGAGTCCCATTTCCTGAAAGCGGGGGCAGGTCAGGTACCCAGCTTCCCCCAAACTCAGCCCCAGGAGCCCAGGATTACTCCTTGTTACCACCCCTCCCCTCACAACTGACTCACTGGGCCGAGTGCGGGTGGTCCCCTTCCAGAATGTGTCCTTGTATGGTATACGGTTGAGATTCTGGCCCATCTTCTCTGCCCGCTCTGGGAAAGAAAGACAAAGAGTCTTGGCCTCAGCTGTGGTATGGGAGAGAGAGGTGGGGACAAGAAAAGATGACACAAGCTGGGCAGTGGGAGACAGACCTCGGAGCAGTTCTCTCAGGGGTGCCTTGGCTTTGTCCACGGGCATCTCTCCATACTTGTTGCAGATGCTGACAAGGGCTCCATTAGCCACCAAGTCCTGAAATAAAAAGGTGGTTGTGATGAGGGTCCCTGCTACCTCCCTGGCAGTCACAACCAACCATGAACGCAGATGCAGTATACGCCCCGTGTCATACACTTGGCAGTGCTCACAGGATGAGTTGAGGATTCCAGAATCTCCCACTGAGGCTCAGACATTGCTTCCCACCCATCCCAGGGCTCAGGGCGTGAGTACTCACCTCTGCCACCTGATCTTGACCCCAGAAACAGGCATAGTGCAGGGGCACATTCCCATGCTCATTCACTGCATTGATGTCGGCTTTGTACTGCAGCAGCTGGTCCCCAGGGCCAGACAGACAGAAGAGGCAGAAGGCACAGTCAGTCCCGAATGAAAGATGAGTATTGAGGCATGTGAGGAGGGAGAAGAAAGAGGACCCATGCTTTCTACAGTATGTTATAGTGCCTGTGACTGCCTTGCAGGCAGGTACATGATGTGATCAGTAGGGGACTGAGGGAGGGAATTGTGCATACCTTCTGTACAATATCACGGTGTCCATGACTGGCCGCCAGGTGTAGGGGGGTATCATCCCCTCGGTTCATCACATTGATTCGTGCCCCCCGCATGATCAGCATCTCAACCACAGCAGAGCGGCCTTCTCGGCAGGCCCAGTGCAAGGGGGAGAAGCCATGATCATCCCTTTGAAGGAAGGGGCAATGATCATTGATCTGGAGGTGGGATGGGGGCTAAGGCTTTGGTACAGGAAAAATCGATAGTTCCTCTGCATACTCGCCCTGGGAAACCTTACCTCTCCAGGACTTTGAGTCTCATTCATGCCAGCAAATCCCAAAGCTGTCCAATTCAGACCTTCCCCTGAGCTTCAAACCCAACCAACCACCACTTGCAATCCCAGCAAGTCCATATGATTCACTGTCTTTACTACCGTCTCCCACCAGCCTTTTTTCCCTGGCACGCCCTATCTCATTAAATGGTAGCATTCTTTATCTGGTTTCCTTTCTACCCCTTTTGCAACATCTGTTGGTCCTTTCTGTTTTGCACTGCATCTTGTACATCCCCCTACTATAGTACTTATTACACTGGATTGTAAAACTCTGTTAATGGGCTGTCTTGCCTATTAGATACTAAGGCTGAGAAAATAGATTGACAGCAGGTGTTCAGTGCATGTTGGGGTGGGGTGGGGGCAGGTCTTGGAGAAGGAAGGCCACAACTCATGGGAGAGGTAGCAAGTTTACTGATAGGCTCTGGTACTGAAATTAAAATCTAAAAATGGAATGGAATTAAAATGATGTTTTGGAAGGGTTTATAATGAAAAGGAGACATGCTTTAGGTAAGTCATTACTGTTGACGCAGATATCAAACCACCACATAAAACAGGATTCCTCTACTCAAGCAATCCTGGGCACAGAAAACAGAAAATAATAATGGCTTTAGAAAGAAAACTGCCTGCCTTTTTTCTTTTCCAAAGGACATGCATTTTTTCAAGTAAAAAGTGTACAAAAAAACCCAAAACAACTGGGTGGGAGCTGGGCCTGATGGACAGCCTGGGGCCATAAAAGGAAATTCCCTCCAGTCCCAGGATGCAGATCCAAGGGGCGGAGCAAGGGGCGGTCCGCGGTCTGGGCAGGCTGCCTCCGGATGCCTTAGTGCTGTGGTCACTTCCCGTGTGGGGGCTCTAGGCCAGGCCTGGAGCTGATCAGGGGTCTGGCCACCCAGATGCCCCCACAGCTGATGGAGGGTGGGGGGCGTGGCCTTTAACTTAATGATTTCCCACCATAGCTGCTAGTCATTTGTACACAGACAGCCAAAAGCTTTCCTGGGAGGTGGGGATCCTCCCCCTCTCCAAAGCAACCACCCCCTGCTTATCTGTCAGTTTTGTCTACTAGCTTTTTAATTTGTGCCCTGGCTTATCAGCTTCCTGCAGTCTATGGCACCAGAGTAGGCCAGAGCCGGAGGGCAAAAGTTTGGGCATAAGGATTCTGCCCACTGTCAGGCTGCTTGTCACCTCAGGGCCTAGACCTTAATCTCAAAGAGACCTGCATGGAATTCACCTGTACCTTATATCCAGCATAGAGGCAGCTTGGGCCCCCAAAGCCTATCCCCTCAAAACACCAAAGCCTTCCAGTTTCATTAATGCCACTCCTTCACTTTTGGGCAGCAGAGTCTTCCTAGATGCCAGGCCCACTGGAAAACTTCGCTTAAGTCTTTATAACCCCACCAACAAAATAGTAATAGTGCTCACTGTCATTATCAGAACACCCTCTGAGGAATTAAGTGACTGTGAATTACAAGAAGTAGTGTAGAGCCTAATGGGAAGTAATGAAGCCTGGATAAAGATGACAGGTGAGCCTTACCTCTCAAACCTAAAAACTAAACTCTGCCAACCTTAAAAAATAAAATTTAAATTAAAATCCACCACCGAGTCAACATCACTTTATTTCCTCATCTCCCACCCATCCTGTCACAAGACCACCACCTTTACGGCAGGCATGAAGTCTGATTTCCAGTTTCTAGCACCCAGCACAGATGTTTAGTATAGATCCTTAAATGAAAGAACCCAGTGTAATCTGGATTGTTCATCTATTTTCCTGTGAAACAGCCCTCACAGAGATCATCAAGTATATTATTAATTGTAAATTAAATAGTTACTTCAAAGTGCTTAAGTTCTTTGACCTCTCAGCAGCCTATACTACTGTTGACCACACCCCCTGCCCCCCCTTCATTGAAACACTCACTAAGCTTTACTAACATATTTTCCTGTTTCCTTCAACCTCCAGTTGCTCCTTTTAGGTCTTGCAGGCTTTTCATCCCCTCTCCTCACAACCATGTCTTCAGGTATCTATAAGCTAATATCTCCCAAATCTGTGTCTCCAAGTCAGGTCTCTCTCCTAAAATCCAAATCTGCATAACCAACAACCTACTCAACATTTTCACCTCACTGTATTGTCACTTTAACATGTCTAGAATGGAAGAACTCATCATCCTTCAGTCTTGTCCATCTCAGTAAAAGGAACCACCATCTACCCGAGTGCCCAAGCCAGAACCCTGGTCACCATCTTTGATGTACCTTTTACGTTCCGCGGTTCCCACACCGAGTCTTACCAATTCTTTATCCCAAAGATTTCAGGAACCTGACCTTCATTTTCCACCTGCCTGCATTCTAGTCCAAGCCATCACCACTTCTGGGAATGGACTAGGCAATTGCCTGTCTTCACATTGCCACCTACTCTTCACAAAGCATCCAAGATGACACTTAACAAAAGGACAGTCTCATCATGATATAGCTTTAAACCTTTGTTCTTAGAAAAAAGATACAGCCTAAAGATCCTCGCATGATCTGGCTGACCTTTGCAGACCTTTCCAGTCTCCTGTCGTTCTCCACTTGTATCCAATGCTTCAGGCCACAAAAGCCCACAAGAGGTCTATCCTCCAGCCATATGGACTCTGGAAAATGTCTGGGCACTCTCTGTTCTGTTTTGCTTCCTAACCCATACAGTTCACTGAAGCTGGAAAGCTGTCTGCAGCCTCTGCCTATAAAACTCTTATTTAGCAGTCAAGATTCAGCTCAAACACAGCTTCCTCTGTGGAGACCCTCCGCCCTCGCCACAGGCTGTGCTTGGCACTCATAACACGGGATACGAAAGTCATCAGCCCCTACCAGGCATGAACACCCCACATCACGTAGAGGCGCATGTCTTTGCCCTTCCTCTCACCCACCAGCCACCTCAGCTCACCCCTGGTTGAGGTCGTTCTCCGTGTTGTCCAGCCACAGACGAACGGCAACCGCGTTGCCCTCCCGGCACTGAGTGAAAATGTCGTCCATAGCAGCGTCCCGGCGCTGAGTCCCCTAGATTAGGGAAGCCTGGGGACTGCGAAGGGATCCAGGGTACGGGGGTGAGCCCCAAGGTTTGTTCCCTGCAGCAGAGAAGTGTCTGTGTTGGGAATGGAAGTCTGGGTGCTGCGTCCCCAACTAGTAGAGGTCTGGGAAGGAGTTCGGGGCAGGGGGAATGTTCCCCAACTGTGTACCCTGTGCGCGAGGTAGGGGTGATTAGTAGGTAGCATTCCTTGAAGGGATGTATGAGAACAAGCACAGGAACCAGCCCGCTAACAGAGCTGGGGGAGGGGGAAAGCTCAGGCGCCCCGTACCCTGCGGGAGGAAATCAGGGGTCCTTCCCCCGAGGGACCCTCGTTCCTGACTCGGAACTTGGGCGGACTGACGGGTGACGGGCTGGCAGGGCTCGTGCCTTGGGGAGGGGGCACGGGTGTTCCCTCACTCACCGGGACTCGGGCTGGAGGAGCCTTCTCCGGGGAACTCCGGTCTGGCCGCGCCCGCCGCCCGGCCCCGCCCCTGGCCCTCTCCGGCCAGCGCGGGCCTCGGTCTGTCCCTCCCTCCCGCCCTCCCTCCTTGCCCTTCTAGCCCACCAGTGTTTAAACTCAATGGTTTTCTGCGCCGCGCCTGCCGCTCTAGCCTCCCTGGCTGTCACTCTTTTGTTTCCGGCTGTGTTCCGGCGGCTCTGTGCGCTTTGATTCCTGGAGACGCGCTTTGCACGTGGAGAGGCGCGGGGGCCTGGCGACCTCGCCCCGCTCTCCACCCTCATGTTCGAGGAGCCGGCGTGGGCCGAGGAGGCCCCATTAGTTGCGGGCCTCGGGCCTGTAGCTTCACGGCCTCGGCCCGCGGCAGCCTCCCAAATCAAGGTAAGTGGCCACTGTAAGCTGTTTCAGGTCGTGAATTGGCCCCTGGTGGATCCTAGCGCAGGGCACGCCGCGCGCACTCGTGGGTGTATTAGGGGTAGGGGCACCTGCGGCCGACTGATGATTAGAGAACTTCCAGAACAAAAGGACGTTGGAATTGAGAGTTGGTGAGTAGAAGTTAGTGAAGCGAAGGGGATTTCTTGGACAGGAAAAGCACGTGCGAAAGTCCTGGGTCAAGAGAGCATGTCCTGTTAGGGTCACACACACAAAAATAATCCGTGTGGTTGGAGTACAGAGAATGAGAAAGGATGCCATTGAAGTTGGAGAGGTAAACTAGTGGTTTTGCATATTTTAAGGATAGGCAGAAGCAGAGGAAGTGGTTTTAGCAGGGGTAGGATTCTTTCAGAATTGCATTTTGAAAGGATCATTGGTTGCAGTGTGGAGATTGAGTTTGAGAGAGCAAGAGTGAATGACAATGACGGGTTGTCAGTACTACCATTCAAAAGACGGTGTGGAGAGGGTACTAAGAACCAACCAGGTCTAGGACCACTCAGGAGGACTTCAACCCAGTAGACCTCCTTTAGGCTTTTGCTGATGTGAGGACTGCTGTACTTCCTCAGGCTCTTCCCCTGAGCCTCCAACATGGAATCTGTATGCTTTATGCCTCCTGTTCACCCCCTCAACCCATTGCTGTAATCCAGGCCACTGCCTTCTCTGGCTTCAGCTTGTCCCCTTCAGTTTGTTCTTTACACTGCAACTAGAGTCATTTTAAATAGACACGTGTGATTCTGTCAACCCTTGTTTTTAGAAACCTTCCTACCTCTTATCAGCTGGATGCAAAAGCCTGAGATGGGGGTTTGGAACTCCTGGTTGTCGGCCTTGGCCCTGTTGCTTGTGGCCGTACCACATTCCTCTGGGGAATCCCACTCCCTCCTCTGCACATTGAAGAGAGTAAGATGGGTGGTTTTCCTGCCCTTCAGCCTCCCAAAGTTTGGGATGGTGACTTGAAAGTTCTTCTGGGTCCGGCAGGCTTCATGACAAGCTAATTAAGTTAACTGGGAACAATCCAGGTACTTCTTCCAGTGTCTGTATCAGGTCCACATCTCTCCCTTCGCATTCTTCAGGCCCCGTTCATTTTCCTCGCCCCTGCTCTCATCCCTTGTTTTCCCCCAGGGCTCCAAGCGCCGCCAGCTGTTGGCCACATTACGGTCTCTGGAGGCAGCATCCCTTCCTCAGCCACCCCCCAGCCTGCCTGGCAGTGATTCAGAAGAGGAGGTGGGGGGAAAGAAGAAGAAACGCCCAAAAAAGGCCGTATTTGCCAGGGCTTCTATTGAAGTAGAAGAGAAAAGGAAGAAGAATAAACAGGGCCCACCTAGCAATGACACTGAAGAAAAGGAAGTAAAAAAGAAGAAGTGCCACAGAAGGGCTTTTCTTGTCAGTGACCCTGCTGCAGAAGAGAAAACAAAGAGGAAGTGCCAGAATCAGGCCTTTTTGAACCCTTCCCAGCACCTGGACAATGTTGACCAAAAAGGTACTAGTGGAGGTGTGTGTTTGGGGGTGTGGGGGGAATCAGCTGATCCTATGTATGACAGAGGTTACCTGCCACCATTAGGTTTGGGGTTAAGCAATAAGAAGCACTTTCAGGGCTGGCCGAATGGCATGTTGGTTGAGAGTTGGCTTGGGAGCTGCAACTCTGAGCAGCAGGGCCCCGGTTTAGATTCCACATGAGGGCAAGTGACACTGCGCCCTCTACAGCTAAGATGGTGAACAACAGCTCGACCTGGAGCTGGGCTGCTGTGCAACGCTGGTGACCACGTAGGCTGCAGCTGGGCTGCTGTGGGCTGCCGTAAGCTACCGTGAGCGGCCGGCAGCCAGTGAGAGCTGCCGTGAGCTGCTGTGAGCGGCTGTCCAATGGCCAGCGACAGAGTGCCTCACCCAGGAAGAGCACAATGATAATACCAACATGGGCCAGTGAAGCGACGTCCTCCACAACTAGACTGAAGAACAAAAGGACAGCAACTTGTCTGTTCCCCTTCCCCCATTCCCCAACGCTGTTCCCCTCCCCCAATTCCCCAGTAAAATCTAAAAAGAAAAGTACTTTCATCCAGGCCACAGTCTCTGTCTCGGTCAGGATGACTTACCAAGCCTCTGAATTCAGTAGATCTTGCCCCAAATATACCTTCCCATCTCTCTCCCTGCAGATCCCAAAACTTGGAAGATTTGTGCTACAGATGACCCACCCAAGCCAAGCTCTGGGGCCACTTCCTCCCAACCCCCCCATACCTTGAGTCGCAAGCAGTGGAGAAACCGGCAGAAGAACAAACGTAGACACAAGAACAAGTTTCGGCCACCTCAGCAGCCAGACCAAGCTCCAGACACAACCCCCACAGAGGATACAGAGGTGCCTCCTGCCCCCAGTCCAGAAAACCATGAGGCTCGGGCGGGGGCTCTGAGAGCCCGCATGGCACAGCGACTGGATGGTGCTCGATTTCGCTACCTCAATGAACAGCTGTATTCAGAGCCCAGCAGTGCTGCACAGCGCCTCTTCCAGGAAGACCCTGAAGCCTTTCTCCTTTACCACCGAGGCTTCCAGAGCCAAGTTAAGAAGTGGCCACTGCAGCCTGTGGACCGCATCGCCAGGGATCTTCGCCAGCGGTGAATGGGGGTTGGGCACTGAGAAGTGACGTTGGTCAGTCACCAGCTCAGACTAGACCAGTGAGTGATCCCTCCCCTCCACTCCCAGGCCTGCGTCTCTGGTGGTAGCTGACTTTGGCTGTGGGGACTGCCGCCTGGCTTCAAGTATCCGGAACCCTGTTCACTGCTTTGACTTGGCCTCTCTGGACCCCAGGGTCACTGTGTGTGACATGGCTCAGGTAAACCCCTTTGTCTTTCTATGTATCTGGCCTGTGCTCGGGGCCCAACCTCTATGTGCTAATCTCTAACACTCCGTCCTTCCTCCCTCCCTCCCTCTCTGCCCCCCATCCTGGTGTCCAGCCCTAGCTCTCAATGCTGGCTTTCTCCTCCCCACATTGTGTACCTCATATGACACTCCCACTCCTTCAGGTGCCCCTGGAGGACGAGTCTGTGGATGTGGCTGTGTTCTGCCTTTCACTGATGGGAACCAACATCAGAGACTTCCTGGAGGAGGCAAATCGAGTGTTAAAGCCAAAGTAAGAGCCCTCAGACATAGGTGCATGTATGTGTGTACATACATATGTCTGTGTGCTTACACAAAACTTCCATTCTTCTCAGGGGTCTCCTGAAAGTGGCCGAGGTCAGCAGCCGCTTTGAAGATGTTCGGACCTTTCTGGGAGCTGTGGCCAAACTGGGCTTCAAAGTCATCTCCAAGGTGAGGGCCCCAAGAAGTCTGTCCCTATTTTGTCTCATGTGTGGCCCTTTTCAGAGCAGTGGTGTTCAGGAGGGAGGCCATAGGCACAGACAAAGACATTTGCTTCTTGAAGGCACAACTCATGGGAGAGTCCTGGGAAGCTTTCTGAGCAGGGGCGGGACATGGATGGAGGTGTTTTGAGGAGTGGAGTGAGGATTTGGAGCTCACTGGGTCTTTTCTGCCCCTAGGACTTGACCAACAGCCACTTCTTCTTGTTTGATTTTGAAAAGACCGGGCCGCCTCGGGTAGGGCCCAAGGCTCAACTCTCAGGCCTGAAGCTTCAGCCATGTCTCTATAAGCGCAGGTGATCTCTGGACCAGCCCCCTTGAAAGTGGAGGCAAGTCTCGAACTCCAGGCTTAGAACTCTGAAGACTGTATCCAGCCAGGCTGGGACCCAGGACCTGGTGCCACTCTTCCTTAATCCAGGAACAAAGTGTGATGAAACTCCTGGCTCAGCCCTGCTCTAATGAAGGCTTCTTGGTTGCAAGAAGCCTAAAATTACTCAGGCTAGCCAAAGAATAAGGAGTGTATTCAGAGAACACAGAGATATTTGGGAATTACGGATCCCCTAGGAGTCATGGAAGTAGATGGTTGAGAATTCAAGGCATCTCTGGATTTGACTCCCTTTTCCATCTCTCAGGAGCCACGTGGGCTTTCTGTTGTCGCATCTCCATGCTTCTTTCTTCTGCTTGTCTGTCTGCAGACCAGCTCCCTGTGCTTTACCCATAGCTTCTGCTCCTTCAGCTTTGGTCTGCTTGGGCTTTCAAGGCCTCAAGCAGGCAGGTGTTACTTCTTGGCTTTGGGACAACGGGTAGTCCAAGAACATCCTGGCTCAACACATGAATCTGGGCTTTTGGGTCAGGACTGTTCGATTGTCCCTGTGCTAAACACTTCTTTCCCCTCTATTCACATCGCCATCTTCGGAGCCACATAGTGCCAACTACTCCTTAGCACCTATTGTCCTGTGGGTCCCAGGTGTGTGTATCTTGCTGAGAGCACAGATTTTGGAATCAGGTAGGCCTCGGTTCAAATCCTGGCCTTCCACTTATTGCTGAGAGTCATTTCATCTCTGAGCGTCACAGTCCTCATTTGGAAAACGGTAGGAGTAGAATTCCTGTCTAATGGGATTGTTGTGTGGGCCAGTTGAGGAAATCTGCAGCTGGGGCAGGGTATCGAGGAGGTGCTCAATAAAGGGGAGCTTTGGCTATTATTTGTTGTAACCCTCATTGTTCTCTGAAGACCTTCCGTAGGCTAAGTTGGAGGTCGAGGGGTAAAGAATGGATTTGTTGACTGAGGAAGGTTTGGGGAGAGCTCAATATAGGCATCTCAGCAGGCTTGTTTAGTAGGATAGTTAGAGATTCTTGATAGTTGCTGAGCTGTCTTTGGAGAGGGGTGGTGAGGGATTTGGGTTGCTTCATAAATAACAATCAGTTAATGCCGTGTTGGGTGGGGGGTTGAGCTGTTCATCAGTAGAAGAGTCTCGTTTCTGCCTGGTCGTGGGCCTAGATCAGCGTGTAATAGGAAAGCTATAGGCAAGGAAGGCTAGTGCTGGGAGACGAGGAACTGGGTTGACAGATCTTTGGCCTCTCCTAAAACAAATCTGCCATGGGCTCAGGTATAAAGATACCACCTCTTTTACTTATTTCCAAGAACAAGAACTGAGCGTGACCACTGGGACACAGTTTGCAGGGCTCTGAGACTGTTGAATGCCCCCAGAAGGGCATGGAGGTTTTGAGGCAGGCTATCGGCCAAAGGCATGTGTGGAAGCTGGCCTGGGAACCAGTCAGCAGACATGGGACAGGGCCTTTGCCTGTGCTCTTCTCTCAGCTGAGTACTCTGACTGGCAAAGTCTTACTCGTGCTTCTAAACAGTCTAGTTGTTTCCTACTCCATCACTCCCAAAGCAGAATGAATGTCTTCACCTGAGCTGTCAGAGCACTACCTAAAGAGGGTAGTTTTGTGCAATTTGTGTGTTTAAATGCTGTGTTGTGATTGCTTTGTGCATTAGGCTGCAGTCTTCTCAAGTCACATTGATCTTTGTATTCGCAGAGCTCGTCATTTGAGTTCACATAAGCAGGAGATAAGGAATGACAGGGTCCAGTTGAGTGGGACTGATGGGAACAGGGGTGTTGCAGGAATCCAGCTTTGGCGCACAAGATGAGAGCCCTGTGGACCACTGACCATGGAAAGAGTAGGCAGGTGGGAGAACAGCAGGTAGACTGGTAGATGTTGAAGGCTGGTGACAGAAATGAATCTGAGGTAAGTCTCTGGTTTCTGTCTTGAGCAACTAGTGGGCAGGTGATGCCATTCAAAATGTTGGGTTTTAAGTACTTTTAGTTGCTCATTTGGAAGTGGGACATAGAAGTCTCAGGAGAGGTCTGCGCTAGGGATTTGGGAATCAGCATCCTAGAGGTAGTAATTAAAGTCATAGGAATAGATAAGATATCCAGAGTAAGATAATGAGAGGAGAAAGTGACTCAGAACAGAACTCTGAGGAGCAGAGTTCCTTTAGTGCAGTGGGTCTCAACCTTTCTAATGCCGTGACCCCTTAATACAGTTCCTCATGTTGTGGTGACCCCCAACCATAAAATTATTTTCGTTGCTGCTCTATAACTGTAATTTTGCTACTGTTATGAATCGTAATGTAAATATCTGATATGCAGGATGTATTTTCATTGTTACAAATTGTCTATAATTAAAGCATAGTGATTAATCACAAAAACAATATGTAATTATATATTGGGAAATATTTATTTCTAATTGCAAATAAATGAAATTTTGCCTTGAAGCATGGAGACGGATAGAGGAGCGGTGTCTCGGTTCCTAAGACCATTGAAAATATGTGTTTTCCGATGGTCTTATGCGACCCCTGTGAAAGGGTTGTTCGACAGGTTGAGAACCGCTGCTTTAGTGGATGGTAAAGGAAAAAGAAACCAGCAAAGGTGACAAGATGAGAAGGTTAGACAAGAGATGGAGGAGTTAAACTATTGGGTTGTTGGAAAAGTCATGACGCATTTTTGCAATGAAAAACATAGAAAAAATACGTCATGACTTTTCCGACAACCCAACAGTTAAACTAGGAGAGTGGATTTCTTAATACGGAAGGAATGGGGATGTTGTCAGCTATCAAATGCTATCGAGAGGTCTGTTAAGATGAGAGAGAAGTCAGAATGTGGTGGGATGAGGATTGCTGAGGAACATTGAGGGCCTGTTTGAACTTACAGTGATATTCTTCATGGCTTTATAGTTACACCAACCAGCCCGGTGGTGTGGTTACCTCTGCCTACTCAGGAACCTAGGTGTGGCCGTGGGAAGTGTGAGCGCCGAGGGGTCATCCAGAGTTGGAACTTTTCCATGTAATTGAAATGAAAGGGAAGCAGGCAAAGGCGCTTCAGACTATTCGCAAGTGATAGCTGTGCTGGACTACGGAATTTTGTAGAACAGGTGGGAGAGTGAAGACAGGAGTAGGTTCTTACACTGGGACTAATTGAACAAGTGACTTGGGAGGATGGGAGGCCATGGTCAGAAGTTGGAATGCCTGAATTACAAATAATTAGAAGCAGAGCAGCTCCAGGTGATGGCAAAGTCGAGAATGTAGCTACAGGGGTGAGTGCCTGAGAGGCGTGCAAGGGAGGTGCCTGGAGATTGGTTAATGGACTGAGGGCTTGGGGTGGGGAGTGTGTGTGCGTGTGCGCGCATGCCCTGTGGGTATTGTCTGCATGGGCTTTGAAGTTCTCCAGGATGATGGAAGAAGTTGGCTTGGAACCAGTGCCAACCTCTTGAAAGAGGGAGCAGATCCAGGAAATCTGCAGATGAAGGGAAGGAGAGGCTGATGGCATGAATTTTCAAAGTGCAGAGGGTTTACAGAGCCCACCAGAGAGACCCCCATTTCAAGGGTGATGTGAGGCTGGTGAGTGGTGCTGGCTGCCAGGCAGCCAAGCTAAAATATCCTGACAATCCTCTCCAGCTTGTCAGGATTCACCGAGGATTGCTGGGGAGAGGACTATTGTGGCAGCTCCATATGGCAGGAGCCTCCCAGAACAATGGGGAGGCAAGCCACAAAACCCCAGGAATGTGTGGGAGCAGCAGGTCATCTCACTTTAGGACACATAACACCTTTTTTAGCTCTATATCCGTGTTCTTTCCCAAATGTTATTTATATTAATAAATCTTGACAAATTTTCCGTTTTCTTAGCTTGCTCAGCAGGACAGCTGGGGTCTGTCCTCCCTCTTGCTTTTCTCCGCTACTTATAATTTCAATTCTCCCTTGGCCTGTTCTGGTTCTAGCCACTGGAGCAGGTATCTCTCTGGGTCAGACTCAGGCCCCAGGCTCCCTCTAACTCAGTCCAGCCCCCACTAGTGGCTCCATCAATCACTCTGATTCTAAAGCAGCCCTCTCCTGAGCCTGATCTGGGTCTTCCCTGCTCCACCATCAGCTTCAGGACAAGCTCTTGTTCAAGTCCATGCCTAGGCTTCAGTTTCTAATGTTGAGAGCCTAGATTGAAGAGAGAACAATATATATTACAGAATAATGGCATACCAGCTGTTTAAAGAACAATGAGACCAGACCAGCTGTTTAAAGAACAATGAGACCAGTTTAAGGAACAATTTAAGGACAGATGGAAGGAGTGGCAAGAATAGCAAGAGACAAATAGAAGTGTGAGGGAGCTGCCCTGATTGTGAAAGGAAGTGGTTCTCAAACTTGAGAGTTGATTAGAATCACCTGGCAGGTTTGTTGTAATGCAGATTGCGAAGCCCTCCATCACTTTCTGATTCAAAAGATCAGGATAGAGTTTGAGAAGTTCTTTTTTGTTTGCTTTGATTTTTCTCAGTGAAGCAGGTAGCAGACTTTGGGTTGAGTGAGAATGGGAGAAAAGAGGTTGGAGTTTTGAGGAGAGGAGAACATGAATATTGTTTCTAAGAGGAAATGAATGAAGTAAGGAAATATAGTATGATTGCTGGTAGTATTAATAGCACACTTAAGGTTCAAGGTCAGAAAGAGGATAGGATGGGAGGAGACCCGGCAAGGTTGCTTTGTAAAGAACTTGTTACTGTGGGACAAAGTACTGTCAGAACCCACCCACTCCTTTGTGGGGGCTGGTTTCTGCCCTCTTACCTCAAGTCTAATTCAGGACTCCACTGGGACCATTCAGGAAGCTTGAAGTATTTATTCCTACAGTCAAGGAATAATGAGCCTGGAGTCTGACTCCTGCCCTGGAAATGTAGAAGGCAAACAGGCTCACTGATTGTTTTGGTAGTGGAGCCAGGTGAGTGCTGCTGCTTTTTCATTGGCCTGTATTCCCAGAATTTGCCATCGCAAGTGATGCATGAGTGTATCCTATGCGCCTTGCAGGAGAGAGGGAAGCATGGAGTGGTCTTGGGTCCTGTCCAGTCGGGCCATTTGAAGAGTCAAGGAGACCTCAGTACAAAGAAGCTACAAGTGTGCCATGTGGGCTGAGGAAGTTGCAGGAGACCCAGAATAAAGCTGCATCCACTAGGTCAAGAGAACAACAGGAATGCCTCCTTTAAATATCCGCCTGGCCCATAGGGCACAGAACCACGCACTCAGGCAAGAACTGTTTCATCCCCTTACTTTTCTGCACTTGGGCCCAGAGCAATCAGAGCAGATACTACGTGGAGAGGAGGTGAGAAGAGTAGAGAAGAGAGTATACAGGTCATTCCTCCCCCAGTGCAGGCAGGCTCCTTGGCTTAAGTGGAGCAGAGCTCTCTGGAGGGGAAAATAGTTAAAGCTACAACAGGTAGAGACTGTTTATTGTTACATAGGATTAGACATTTGAATTACATGAGATTGTGTTTGTATCTTAAACTGATTGTAAGACTGTTAACTAAGAATGAGCTGAAAAATCACAGGCTTGCTGCAGCTTTTCTCCACAGCAGGGGAAGAGTACCCCCCAATTGATAAAAGTTTGGAGGCGCGGTGAAAAACAAGAATAAAGTTGGGTTTGGATAGCAATCTGCTTCATGCTTGTTAGCATCCCCTTTAGAGGCTTATTGCTTTTGCAGTTATTGGTGAGTTCCAGCTTTTGTTCCTGTAACATAGTCCTAAGGGAACACAGTTCCAAAAGAAACAACATGATCTTGGCAGAGACACAGCTCAGCTCCAAACACTAAACCATTTCCGTAATTGCACAGAGCCTTTTACAGCCTTTCACAGAGACCCATAATTAGAGCTTTTATCCCCAGGTCGTCCTCCTTCCCAGGTGACTTCTCAGACTGGCCACCTGGTTTTAGGATATTTGGCTACTGCAGTAAGCGCCTTACTCTTCTAATTGCTTCCACTCCTGCCTCTAAAGCAATTCATTTTGCACACAGCCAAGTGATCTTTTTAAAATGTAAATCAGATTTGTCACTTCTCTGCTTAAAATCCGTTGTTAGTGAGTTTGGGGAGAGTTAGAGCAGTTAGCATTATATATCCTGGTTAATATATCTTCTCTGGGCATCCTATCCACCTTAAACTCTTGATCACAAAACCCTTTTTGTTTCCTTCAGGGTGCTTCAAACATTTAAGTATCTTACCAGATGTTAGTCAGCACTCCCCACCTGTCCCATGAATTTTAATATTCATTGGGAAAGCAAATGTTCACATCACGAAGTTGAGATGCTCCTTTTACCAGTTACATTTTGATTATGATAAAGAAAAAAGAAAAATCCCACTAAAGATGTCTTAAATGAGATTTTTTTTCTTCTCATAGTAGAAACCTGAAGGTAGGTGTCTGTTAGCATTGGTTCAGGAGCTCAAGGATGTTAACGATTAGGTCTCTGTGATCCTCTTGGTCTCTTGATTCTCACGGTTTTAAGATAATGTGTTCCTGATTAAGCAGGGCCACGCTACTTACTATTTACTAATACACTTCTTGGGAGTCTTGCTGATTGCCAGTCTTTTTAGCCCTACTTCAGGATTCCTTCTATATTGTTAATACTCTGGTTAAATATGTTCCACTATTTCCTATAACATGGCTGAGACGAATTTAAAATATTAACATTTTAAATGTATTTGTTTCTTCCACTCCTTCCCACATCTCAGTGGCCTGTCAGCAACTCATCCAACTCAATTTATATTTATGTTATATTTATGTAGAACTCCAAAAATCAACCAAAGACAAGCCAATAGAAAAAATTGGGCAAGAGACTTGAACAGGCACCTTATAGAACAGGATTTTCAATAATGAGTATACTTGCGAAAAGGTCAATCTCATTAGTAATCAGGGAAATGCAAAGCAACACCAAATGGCAACATTACACATACTGGAATTGGGGGAAAATGCCACAAGATAAAGATAAGGAGTAAAGTGAATTCTCATATGGAATAAGTGAACTCTCGTATCCCTGGTGAAGGGAGTATAGATTGAAATTTTTGGAAACAATCTGGCATTATCTGCTAAAGTTGAGGGTAGACATATTTTATGATCAAGCAGTTCTACTCATAGTTATATATCCAACAGATATGTATGCACATGCACAAGAGGCATTTGCAGATTGTTCATAGCAGCATTTTTAGGAACCACAAATTGGTCATTAGGCAGTTCACAAATACTTGACTCCAACCCCGTCCCCAAAATGCCTGCTAT